TTGTGATCATAGCCTTTGATCAACTCAGTTGCAAGAAGGATATTGTCACCAATGTGCTTGCCTAGAATGAAACCTGCTTGAGCATCATCAATGACCTCACCAATGATAGCAGCAAGTCTAGCAGTTATGACCTTAGAAATGAGCTTACAAACCACAGTGCAACAAGCTATAGGTCTAAAATCCTTAACATGGGAAGCATTAAGGATTTTAGGAACAAGAGTGATAGTTGTGCAATTCCATTGCTTAGGAGAATTCTGCAAAAGTGTATAAGTAGAATTCTTATGCTGTACTAATTGAGGTGTAGAATTGTTCTGCTTCTTCTTCTTAGCCATCGAAGATCAAGATTAATGATGAAACCGATCAAAATCAACTAACCATGGAGAAGAGACAGAAGAGAGAAAGTCAATGAAAGTAAAACCTCTAATTTAACTCTTTATTTCTTTTGGCTTGCATTTTCTTAGTTGGATTTCTTTCTTTATGCATTTCTTGGATAATGTTGTTATTTTCTCTTTTTTTTTTTGGTAAATATAAAATTTATTGCCAAAATAAGAAAGTTACAAACTTACAAGAAGCTAAGCTATAACAACACCAAACACCATACACCAAAAAGGCCAAACCAACACCAAAAATCCAAGAATCTACCCAAACCACCTTCTAGGAAAGGTGCTTGAAAGAAACAAGGACATCTATTAGACTCAAGCTCACACCCACCTTCTAGGAAGGGTTCTGAGAGCCAGGACCAGACAAGAACACCTAAGACAGAAACAGCACACAAAATAGACAAAAACAACAGATGTAAGCACCAAAACCAGCCTATACCAGCAAACAAAGAAGCTAAAGCAGATAATATAAAAAAGAGAAAGACACCAAAACACCAGCTGCCAAAACAGAAAAGCAAAACCAACACCCAAGCTGCTGCAGACTTGCTGACTAGAAACCATAAACAGCAGCAGCAGCAAACCAGAAACAGCAGCGGCAGACCAGAACTGCAGCAGCAGCAACCTGACAGACTTGCTGCAACAGAACAGCCGGCCAGAACAGAGCAACTGCAGATAACAACAACAATTGCAGCTCCATGTCATAGCACCTGAGAACCAGCTGCCACCTAGAAACCAAGCTGCAACAAAAGAAAACAGCAGAACCAAGCTGCTGCAGACTTCAGAAACCAGAACAGCATCAACAACCTGGCAGATCTGAAATCAAACTGCAGTAAACCAGAAAATCAGTGAAGCAAAAGCAGCTTCCTATCTGCTCCATTGCACCTAATAGCAACACGAAAAACCAATGTCTTTAAAAACAGTTTCTACAGGTTTACAGTCACCTATAAACATCAAACTATTCCTTTGCAGCCATATACTGTAAATAGCCTCAGCAAAACACATAGAGTATACTCTTCCCTTGCTGCTAGACTTCCTGTAATTCTTAACTATCCATTGTTGTTCAATGTGAAAAGGTTAAACTGATTTTTTCACATCAAGAAGCTTTAAAATCTGTTCCCAAATAGTCTTAGAGTAAGGACAATAAAAAAACAAGTGAGAAACAGTTTCACAAGAGTTTTGGCAGAAAAAGCAAATAGGATCACAACTTGCATTCCACTTAACAATTTTGTCCTTAGTAGCAAGTTTATCAAGCAAGGATAACCAAGTAATGAAAATACTCTTAGGAGCAGCTTGGTTATTGCAAACAATTCTTTTCCACCCTACTTTAGAAGCCTGAGGTCGAATCCAGGCATAAAGTTTAGCAATACTCATTTTCCAATTTTTCATAATAGATGACCAGCCACCAATATCATCAATAATATCTGTACAAGTCAAGATTTTCTTCAACACCTAGGAGCATTTCTTGGGAATAGTAGCATTTCTTGTTATTTTATTTTTTATTTACTTGTTTTCCTTTATTTTTCAGGTTAAGGTCGTTATCCAAGTTTCCCGAGGCCTCTTCCCTAGTTTGGGTCCCTGTTCCGTACCCTGATTTGCGCGGCCGCGCTCTCCCTTATAGCTGGCCGCGCCTATACGGGTTTATTTGGGGACGATCTAACTAACTTCTCTTAGTTAGTTTTACTATACATATATTTTCTTTCTAATTTTAGAGAGAGAATGAATTCAAAAAATTAGAATAGAATTAGAATTAGAATTTTAGAGAGAGAAACTCTAGATTGTAGAGATAGAAGTTCTTGATTGATGATTGATGATTAAATATTGTTAATTTTATCATTTTTCAATTGAATTGAAGCAAGTTTGTAAGGATTTCTTTTACTTTAATGCAATTTTTCTTATCATTTTAATTACTTTGTTGATTGTTCAAGTTTGAATTGAATTTGTGATTAAATAAGTTCTATTGATATGATGATGATGAAATTGTTGATTAGCTTAGTTTTGATCTTAATTTCAATGGATTGTGAGTAGTTCTCTTGCTAGGGGAATGGTGAAACATGTATGAGTGATGGATTGATGCTAAATAGGGGAAATTGATGGAGTTGATGTTGTGATTAAATTGGTTGATTGATTAAGTGCATGTGTGTGATTAATTGAAGAGTAGCTCGCTTTGATTATTACACTAGAATGCATTCTAAGCTTGCATTGTTACGGAAAATTGATTTGTGGCTTGCTTTTGTCGATTGAGTAGGTTTGCAAGGTTCCTAGTAAGAGTCTCTCGTGGTTGGCGCTAGCTTGACCTCTAGGAATTAGCTTACCTTACTATCTTGATTGCTTAGTTGATTTTCCCTTGGAACACTTGAGTTAGTCATCTCTAATCCCAATCAGCTATATCCATTCCAAGTACATGCGGATCCTAACCCTAGTGCTTAATAAATTTGATTTCATTTTGATTGTTGAATTTTTTTTAATACACACACCTCACTATATTGCTTCGAAATAGCTTAGCTTTGACTTAAGCATTCACCTCCTATTCCTAGTGGTTCGACCCTTGACTTACTCTATGATTTGTATAGGGGTGTGTTGAGAGATTACAAATTTTGTTTTGACCAAGGGTAGATTAGTTTTCAACGACCTAGTCTTTCCCTAGATCAAAAATGGCGCCGTTGCTGGGGAATAGCGTAGATGATTGCTTTTGTTGTTGAGTGTATTTCACCTTAATCTCCAAAATACAAAAAGATTTTTCTCTTTAGGCTACATTTGTAGCCGTGCTATTGATATTTGCTTTGAGTATTTGTATGCGTAGGATAATAGGATGGACTTTAGTGCCATTTGACCTGGAAATCGAGAGAACAATAACAAGGATAAGGGTTGCTAATCGTTCTTTGAGTCCAAGCTCTCCAAGAGAAGAAATTCACCAAGAAAGAGAAGAGGAGGATCAAGTAAGCATGGGAGATAATCCAAGAGTTTCTTTGAAGGAGTTAGGAACTCCCGGTGCATATAGGTTTGAAAGTGGGATTGTATTGCCAACAACACCGGCAAATGACTTTGCAATAAGACCGGCCATGATCACTTTGATTGAAAGAAGACAATTTAGTGGGACTAAGATTGAGACTCCGCTAAACCGTCTGAAAGAGTTCGAGAAGTATTGTAACACTATTAAAGTAAATGGTGTTTCTCAAGAGTTTATCCGGCTCAAGTTGTTCCCCTTCTCCCTCATAGGTCGAGCCTTGGAATGGTTAGACAAGGAGGTCTGGCCAAATTCTCTTAGAAAATGGGGTGAAGTTACCAAGGAACTCTTGTCTAGGTTCTACCCCCAAAAGAAAATGGCGGAGGCAAGGAATTTGATCCAAAGTTTCAATAAAAAAACCCAGTGAGAGCTTGTATGAAGCTTGGGAAAGGTATAAGGAGTATCAAAGAGAATGTTTCTATCATGGCATCCCAACCTATCAAATCATTCAAATTTTCTATGGAGGTTTGAGTCCTCAAGGAAAATCGTGGTTTGATGCGGGAGTCGGGGGCCCAATCATGAACAAAACCGAAGAAGAGGTTGTGGACATTATAGAAGATGTGGTGCGCCATTACATGGACTGGCAAGGAGGAGAAAGAGAGTCTTCAAACAAGAATGGATCAATGGTTTATTCGGTTGATCACCTTAATTCCATCTACAATCTATCCTCTCAAATCGCAAGTTTGGGAAAGGAGTTTACAACAATCAAGGCCAAGCTCGAGAGTGCAACTTCCAATGCACAAGGTCATTCCTCCCACATTAAAGGGAGAGGTACATCTTCTAACTCTACTCCTCCTTCTCCTTCTAACAATATGACAAATGGATGCTTGTTTTGTGATAATTGTGGGTCTTATGACCATGATGCTTCTACTTGTTCAAATTGGTTTGAAAATCTTGATGATGGTGAGAGTAGTGAATGTGAACATGTGAATTTTGTCTCAAACAATAACAATGGTCAAAGTTTTGATGGACCAAGAAACTTTGGAAATAGAAATTCTCACCAACAAGGTGAATTTGATAACTATAACAATCGTAATTATAGGAACCAAGGAAACCAAGGTTTTTGAGGTAACTATAATAACCAAGGTTATGGTAATCAAAACTAAGGCCAAGGGTATGGAAATCAAAGCCAATCTTAAGGCTTAGGTGCCCAAAACCAAAATTTTGGCCACAATAAAAATCGAGGCAATTGGAACAATCAAAATAGGAAGAATTTTCAAAACAACCAAAGGGGACCGCCACCCGGATTTGGTCTAAAATCTCAAGGTGTTGGTGAAAATTCCTATTCTCAATCGTCCAAGTCCAATCTGGAGGAGATAATTGAAAATCAAACAAAAATCTTGAATACTTATATGGCGGTGAGCGATAAGAAATTTAATGAGATCATGACACATAACAAAATTATTGAGACACAAATCACACAACTAGCAAACACTTTGAATGATTGTGCTAGTCATTCTTCATTGCCTTCTCAAGGAGTTGATCCTAAGAAACTCGTTTATTCCATCACCACAAGGAGTGGAAGAGTTCTTGAAGAGAGAGTTTCTAGGGATTGTGATGAGGACAAGAAGAAGAGTGTTTCAAGTGAGCAAAAAGAGTAAGTTGTGTCAAAAAATATGAGGAAAGAAGAGAGCCATGAGAAAAAGAAGAATGATAAGAGAAAGCAAGAGGAAGTGAGAAAACCCGACCTTCCATATCCCCAAAAGTTTATGAGGAACAAACTAGACGAGAAATTTAGGAGATTTCTTGAAATGTTGAAGGAGGTCCATCTTTCTATCCCTCTTACAGAAGCCATGACCCAAATGCCTAGATATTTTAAGTTCCTTAAGGATATCTTTAGTGGCAAAAGACATTGTAATGAGATAGATTTGGTGGAGCTTGGTGAGTGTTGTAGTGCTTTGATTCACAATGACCTCCCCAAGAAGATGAAAGATCCGGGTAATTTCTCCATTCCTTGCAAAATCAAGAGTAAGTTGTTTGAGAATGCTTTATGTGATTTAGGTGCTAATGTGAGCATAATGCCCTTCTCAGTCTTCGAGAATCTAAAGCTAGGAGAACTTCTTCCTACCAATATGACTTTGCAATTGGCCGATAGTTCCATCAAGTTTCCAAAGGGAAGAGTTGAGGATGTTCCCCTTAAGATAGGTAGTTTTACAATTCCCGTTGATTTCATTGTTCTTGGAATAGAAGAAGATGACCACATTCCTATTATCTTAGGGAGACCGTTCTTAGCTACTTCGGGAGCTTTGATTGATGTTAAGGGAGGCCGTATTACCTTGAGAGTTGGTAACAAGAAAGAGAGATTTGAGCTAAAACCAATGCATGAGTCCTTATCCCTTGTGAAGAGAATCAAGAGTAATTATTCTCTTCATTCTTTTGATAATGTGTGTGTGATTGATTCTTCATCTAACAATATTCATGATATTTTTGATGATGTGCTTGTGAGTTTTGATTGCATGAAAGTTAGTGAAGATAAGAAGGAGCTTTCAAAGACTATGAAAGAAGAGGAGATTGACATTCCTCATTGGTTTGAGTTCCACCCTCGAGAGGAAGAGGAAGAGGAGGATTCCATGGACACAGATGGTGTGTCTACAAAAAGAAACAAAATCAAGAAGAAAGAAAGACCTTCGAGGAAGAAGATAATGAGATTGAAGTTGAGAAATGAAAAGATTGTTTTTGATGTGCAAGCAAGTGAAGTTTTGTCAAGCAACAACAAGAGGTTGCTTAAAAGTGAAGTAGAAGTTGTTATATCCGCTACCTTGGATAAGGTGATGTTCTTTGATCCTCCGTGATTTGGAGGAAGGGTCGAGCTTAGGACCTTAAGCAAGCGCTTCCCCGGAGGCAACCCGAAGATTTCTAACCTTTTCTTTTGATTTCTATTTTTCTTAATTTTTCTTTCTTTTAGTTTCTTTTCTTTGTTTTCACTTTTTTGGGTTTATAGGTTGAATTCTTGGAGTTGGATTACATCAAGTGGGAACGAGCAATGGAATGGTGTTTCATGGTTTTTTATGTGTTTATATTCAATTTTATCGAAATTTTGAGGTAAAAGGGGTAAGAATTGTTAGAAAGGTGTAGGGAATATTTCAAGCATTATCCCAAACTTGAACCCCACTATGATCATACACTTAAGCATGGTGGCGTCCAAAGGGAAAGAGGATAGATTAAAAGAGTCGCCAACAAGTTTTAGGAACTTGTAAACTGTTCATAGGGTGAAGGTTACACCCCTTAACGATCCAGGAGATCGTTAACTCCAATAGGTCTGGAACAATGACTGGTAGTTCGGGGATGAAGGTACAAATCCAACCTAAAAGAGGTTGAACCTGCCCTAATAATAGGCCTCTACTTTATTCAGATCGTATTCATGTGCGCTTTTTGACTAACATGTAATCAATAGGATTAACCATAAACCTGTTTGTCTATGTTGGTTGAATTTAATGCACAAATAAAACTATTATTGGTGATCACTTGAATTATAATCAAATTAACCCTAAAAAATATTATTAATTATCTTACTAAGCGTGATTACAAGTACCAATTCCCTTTAAACATGCATAAAAGGCGTGATCAAGCAATAACAATAAATATAATATGTCAAGCAACAGAATAATAATCATCATAATCACAATAAGTATAATAATTATAATAATTAAAATAATCATAAATCATCATCATAACAATTATAATCATAATATTCATGTTAAAGCATAATAATAGCAAGATCCTAGGCATGTTACTAACAAGATTAATAACAAATCCTAGCATGTCACTAAACAATAAAGATCAAGGCTTTAACCCTAACATGATAATAACATGATATAAGGAAAGAAATAAAATGCATCACAGGAATCAAAATTGTCATATTTGATATTAGAAATTTTAGTTGTTACCCTAAACATGATACTAGGAAAATCAAAACATCCTAACATGATACAAGGATAATAACAATCTAATCATGATTTCTATATCATAATATCAATCAATCAATTGAAACACTTACTTGGATGCCTCGTATCTAATACACGTGTTAGTAACTTCAAGGAAAATATAAAATTAAACAATTAAATTAAATAACTGAAATATAGAATTAAAGAAAGTTTAGACTAGATTTGGGACCAAACCCTCATAAATTAAAATCTTTCACGTCTAGGCCGAAGGCAACTTCGAACTTGGCTAGGTGTTTCTAGATCTTGTGAATGCGGAATTTTGTATGCAAAAGGCTAGTTTAGAAAAGAGAGAGAGAGAGAGTAATCAAGAGATTCTTGATGAGAGTTGGTGATGGAAAGAACTGATAGTTGATGATTGAAAACGGAGGTCTTAGGAGGCTATTTATAGAGAAAATCAGCCAGATGTGGTTAAAAATGAATTAGAGTTTCGAAAAGAATAAAACACGATCGCAGCGTCAAACACGCACGTGGCGCCAAATGCTGGACTCTAGCCCCAGACGCCAAGTCTAGCGCCAGACGCCAAGTCTAGCGCGAGACGCCAAGTCTAGCGCCAGGCGCTTGTCTTGTCGTCAGACGCTGGAAATAAATTTCCGCACGTTTTCTTAATTTGATAAAATGTAGCCGTACGAGAGGGCAAAATCATATTTTCCTTAAAAACACTTCTTTTATTCTGATTAAAACTCTTAAAAGTCAACTAAAGTCAATTTATCATTGGGCCACATATAAATATCAAACCGGGCCCAGTTTATTAATTTGGTCATAACTTCCTCATTATTCATCGAAATTGGTCTTATAATATATTGTTGGAAAGCTGTTTTTGAACCTGACCCAACTACACTATTATTGGACCCTTTTCATGGACCAAAGCAAACTGGATTAGCTGTTTTCTTAAAATAGGTTATAAAAAACAAAGAGAAAGAAAAGAAATAAAAACTAACCACAACACTAAACTTTCCACACTTTTACTTCATTCGATTATGATTTGACATGAAAGGTATTCATCACTGGGTTTCGTTTTGGGGAGACACAAATGGGTGTCTACAGAAGCCCTCACTTTGACTGAGTTTAGAGAAAAGCAAGTTTCGAAAACAAAAGTCAAAGTATCGATAGGGACGGAGAATGATTCCGAATGTCTGGCGATCCTAAATAATTCTTGTAACGTCGATACCTGCAAACTAGCATTAGTTAAACAGATAGGAGAGTTAAGAAACGCGTATCTTGCACCGTCGAGTACACGTCTCTAGAGGTAACCGATTTATTGCTGTTGCATTTGCTGTTGTTATGACAACCTTCCGCAAGCTAAGGAATGCCATCCTGCTGTTTTTTTTTTTTATGATCTTCTTCAAGCTAGAGAATACTGCCTGAAGACTGCTACGCCTATAACTGCCTCCAATTCCGTCATGATAGACAGAAGCTAGAGAACCCCATCAAAGATTGTTTCGCCTTAAACGACCTTCTAGCGCTTTGTGACCATCTTTCGCAAGCCAGGGAACATGATCGAAGAATTCTTTGCCTGAAACTATCTTCATTTATTGCGAAAAAACCCTGAAGAGTATCACCGAATACCAACTCTTGTTGATCCTTTGCTTTTGCTATGCATGTGCGTCAGCGTTTTTGCTGTTTGTGAACCAGTATGTCGGTGCCTTTGAATTATGAACCAGTATGTCAGTGCTTCTGAATCGTGAACCAGTATGTCGATGCCTTTTGTATATGTATGAACCATGATCGGGATAGAATAGGTCGTTAAGCTACTACCCTAACCAAATTAATCATTTATAATACCTAAACCTACACTAAACTAGTTAGCGGCAAGTAAAGGGTCGAACCACTAGGAAAGCACGCTAATTCAACATCAAATATCACTAATGCAAGAGTGAAAGGGGGATTGTTTTTGTTGGTTTTGTTGAGTAAGAATACTAAAACTACAAATTAACAAGAAGATGATAATTAAAATCAATAGAAAATGACGCTAGGGATACGGGGGTATCCAATATGATTAGAAAGAGGAGAATAATGGTGATTATCATGAAACATATGCCAAAGAACACAAGATTCTACCTAAACAATTCATTCTCATGCAATAGTCTAGGCAAATCAATGAAAGAGGTCTACACTAATAAGGATCATTCTCATGCATCCTATTAGATACAATCAAATCAAGAGAATAAAGAAGCACAATCCATAAAAACTCCACTTTAATAACTCATTCTCATGCAATCATTAAAATAGAGGTGATCCTAATCTAGTTCAAATCACTTTCATGTATTTAAACTAGAAAACATCAAATAGAGTGCAACAATAATCCCAAGCTAATAAAAATCATGTCTTTCATCAATATATGGCATAAGTTCAATCCAACCATCATCATTCATCCAATATCAAATCATATCTTCCACCCCCTTCCCCTAGCCAAAAGTTTAGCCTAGAGAAGGGAGATTAAACACAAAATCAAAACTAGAAATAAACTCAAGAAACTCAAAACAAAACATGATTAAAATCAATGAAATCAATAACAACTAGATGAACTAATAAGATTAAAAAGAATAAACAACAATAAAACAAATAAATAAAACTAAAGGAAAGGAGAAGAGATTACAAAAGAAAGGATTAATGAAAGATGAAAACTTGAATTCTTGCTTGATTAAAACTTAAACTTGAGCAAAATTGAATCTTGGAAGAAATTGAGCAATAATCTATTTCTCTCTCTCTAAAAATTATTTAATCTAACCCGAAGAGAGAGAAACTCTCTCTAAAACTAGGAAGAAGATCTAAAAATATCAAGTTCTCTCGTAAAAAAACAAGGCTCGCAAATATAAAGGAAGTAGCGAAAAAACGCTGAACGTGCGCCCGCACAAGGCAGCTGTGCGCTCGCAAAGTGGCCTGTGCGCCTGGGCATTCGTGGGTTGCGCGGCTTGCTGCTTGGGTGTGTGCGCCTGTGCTGCTGGTTGCGCGCCAGCGCAAGGCACCTGTGCGCCCGCGCATTAGTTTGTGCGCCCGCGCACAAGTCGCGCGTAGGTCGTGCAAAACTTTCTGCCTCGATTCTGCAATTTTGCCTCTTTTGCGCGGGATCTGACAGGGCTGCGCGCCCGCAAACATCAGCCGCGCGCCCGTGCACATTGTGCGCGCCCTTGCACCTTGCTTTCTTCGATTTTTCTCTCATGCTTCCTTGGCTTCTTCTATGCAATCCAAGACTTCAAATACCTAAGCAGAAACACCAAGGGAAGCAATAAGGTATAGGGAACGGTGCAAACATGCAATGAAGGCAAGCATTTAAGAATTTACGCGATTTCATTAAAAACCATCGAGACATGTATGCACGCATTATTTGAACAAAACAACTACAAAACACCAACAAAACGACACAAAACACCCTAAGACAAGCTAAAACAAGGCATAAACACTATCCTAGGAGTGACATAAATGTCACTCATCAAATTCCCCCAAGCTAAACCTTTGCTCGTCCTCGAGCAAGACAAAGAGAAAGGGAGAGGATTATTCAAGCAAAGCTAAAACACTAAAGGAGACAAGAATGTACACTAACTCACTTTCATAGGAATCACGGTCAATTTTAGCAACTAAAGACAAGCCCTTTAAACCCCTAGATCGCCCTAGAGGACGAGTACGCTCTCGTGAGGGTTTCCTAAGAGCTTAACCCACACCTCTAGACAAAAACCAAGGCAAAACAAAAAGAAAAAGAAAAGCAAACACAATAAACAAACACAACCATGACCAACATAACATGGCAAGGTTTAGGAAACCAATCAAGCTTAAAGGCGGAAAATACTCCATTTAGACTCAAAAAGATGAGACATGCACCAAAGAATACTCACCTTTCTCAATACAATGAG